ATGATTCTACATAAAACAAAAATTCGGAAACGTACAGTCCTGGAACTCCTTCCATTACAGCAATGACAGTGTACCAGCACCCCATGGACTGAAGCAGTTCAAGGAGGCAGTTCACTTACACCATCAAGGCCAACTGGGTATGCACTATAAATACTGGCCAAGCCAGCAATATCCGTATCCAGCAAATGAATAAAATTAAAAAGAAGAAACATTTGGATACAAGATATACAGAAGTAAATTGAGATGATAAAATGGAAAATTGTAAATTGCCTTGTGTTTTTCAAGTGAAATAAACTGTGATAATTGAATTGCTAGATGAATAAAATTTACAGTTTCATCAACAACCTTGCCAGCTACACAATTTGAAGAAACCTGCTGCAAACTGCTGGTAGTTATTTCCTAACATTCTATTATTGAAGGAGGTGTCCGTCTGTAACATAAATATGCAGAAAAGCGCAAATTCTTTTTATTTCTATTCATAGAATCTCTACAGTGTGGAAGCAGGCCATTTGGCCCATTGAGTCCACACCTACCCTCCAACAGCATCCCACACAGACCCACCCCTCTTACCCTATCCCTGTAACCCTGCATTTCCAATGGCTAATCCACCCAATTTACACTTCCCTGAACATTATGGGGCAATTTAGCATGGCCAATCAAATTAACCTGCACATCTTTGGACTATGGGAGGAAACCGGAGCACCCGGAGGAAACCCACGCACACATGGGGAGAATGTGCCAACTCCACACAGACAGACAGTTGCCCAAGGGTGGAATCGAACCCCAGTCTATGGAGCAGCGAAACAGCAGTACTAACCACCGAGCCATCGTGCCACCCCAAATTCTTCTTCGGTTCTTCCATTGGACTGGAGCTCTCGAAGTGTATCTAATGTGGGAAATGGCAGCACCCCTCACGCACCAGGGTGCCAACTTGTGACATCTCCTGCAACTCTTCCCACCTCCATATTCTGATCACTACCACTTCCTCATCTCTTTTAAGCTACCCGACTGCCCAGATAAAAAAAAGAGAAAAACCTGGAAACTCTTGTCTTTCACATCAAGAATTATGGATATCCTTGAATCTCTTTCTCACCAACTATATACAATAAGATAGATGTGATCTTAATTCAAGGCAGGATCCCAAATGTACAAATTCACTTTAGGTAGGTTTTGAGATACCATGAAAAGTAGATCATCATTTAGATCATCACTTGAATCTCCAAGTGCTGGAAAATGGGAGTCGAGCAGAGTCGAAAGGGTGGTTGATGACCCATTTACATGCTGTAAAACTTGATGACTTCATGATTGTGCCTATTCGTAGATCTTCCTTACCTCCTTATAGAAAGCTCCTGATTCCCATTGGACAGTGCAGCAGTGGTTAACAAAGTTAAGCTTTGAGAAGTACATTTTAAAAAATTAAATTGGTGCCATTGAGAATTCTGACTGTTTAGTGTAATACCAATGAGCTGGTGCATCATATGTTCTGCTAAAACAACAACAGAAAAGGTGCTTTAGAGAATAAATAAACAGAAACTTGCTTGGGACCTGAAATGAAGTTCAGATAATTTGCTCCTTGATGTCAATTAAAAGAGACAAAAGCTGGCTAACAGATGCTGTATCCTTTCCCTGACGTGCAGTCGGTCCCTAACTTTCTACTTTGTTGTTAGCAGAGATTTGAGGAACTGCACTTACTGATAAAGTGTTTGTGAGGCCCATTAGCTGGGCGATTGCAGCATTCAGCAGGAAATCCTCTGTCATGTAAGTTGTTACCTAAACACATTTAAAAAGCAAAGGAAACAAAATTAAAAACAATTGTTGGCAGCATTTGTCCAGCCCAATGCAATCTGCAGACATCTGTCCCCTCTCCAAAATGTGAATAAATCTTTGTGCAGCTCTACCCTCTGAACAAGAATGCAAATAATTGCTATATGTTTATTATTGTAAGGCAGCATGTGGGGTTCTAATCAAAGGGCTATTCACGCAAATAAGCCCGAGTAGTTAACTGTTGCTCATCTGAACCCACAGGTTAAAGCTCAAGATCACTTAATTCTAAAATAGCGTACTGCGAGTAGCATGGATCTTGCAGCTGCTCCTGAGATTCAGGCTTTTTTCTAGATTTACTTCTAGATTTCTACATGAATAGCAAATGTTTGAGGGGGGATATGGGCCAAGCGCAGGCAATGGGAATAGTTTATTGCGGGATTATGGTCGTCATGGACTGCTTGGACTGAAGGGTCCGTTTCTGTGCTGTATGACTCTATAACAAAGCTAAGCTAAAGCTAGAGATCAACTCAAGAAAAGCTCGGGGGACACCCATTCCCTGGTGCACGCCTTATGGAAACACCTCTAACAATTAGAGTTCATTTGCCAAACAAACAAACAATCTGCACTTCCCTCCCACGCAGTGTACATTGTTATTCCCTTCAGGAGATGGCATTCTTGCAATTCCCTCCTGATATGATAAAAAGCTTTGACTGCATGCCCCTGTTTTCAGCAATATGATAAAAATTGTCTATTTAAAACATTTACTCATAGTATGAAATTTCTGTTTTGGGTTGTTAAAACTGTGACCTGATAAGCCAGTCATTGTTTCTAATTTTTCAGTGAAGATGTGAAAAAGACAATGGCTCACTCATTGCAACTGGTTTTCACTTCTTCCAGTTGAATTCCCCCCTCCCACCAAAAACTTTGCTGTCAATTTTCTTCCTGAAGGTGCCAACACCATGTCAGGCTTTAGCTCCAAAGGCATCTCACAAATTGGAAGATAGTAAATGTAACTCCTTTATGCAAAAAGGGAGTGAGACAGAAAGCAGGAAAATACAGGCCAGTTAGGATTTGTCATATGGAAACGTTAGAGGCTCTCACTAAAGAAATTATGCCAGGGCACTTGGATAACTTCAGAGTAATCAAACAGATTTAACACGGTCTTGTGAAAGAGAAGTCATGGTTGATCCATCTATTTGGTTCATCTATGCCCTTTAATGAAGGAAACCTGCCGTCTTTAACTGGTCTGAGGCAATGTGATTCCAGATCCACAGCAATGAGGTTGACTTTTAACTACTTTCTGAAACAATCAAACAAGCCACTGCGTTCAAGGGCAGTTAGAATTGGGCAACAAAGGCTGGTCCTGCCAAAGACAGCCACATCTCATTAAAGAATAAACATGAAAAATAAATCAATCCATTGGAATCCAAGTCCAATCTCCTCTCCATAAACCAGCGAGCGACATGGTGGCCAGATGCAACGCCAGAGTTCAAATCAACTAACTCCAGTACAATATGTACTAACGTTAGCACCTGCCTGATCTGTTTGGTTAAGCTGATCACTAAATGTATGAGCCTGATCATATTCTATAGTCAGTACATAACTGTTAACTTCGTTTTCTGATTCATTGTCTACCTTCTGACCACTTTTTTTTTCATTTCTCCCTTGACTAAGAAGACGCTGCCATTTCACACAGAAAACAATAGGCTATTGGTAACTTGACAATGTTGGACAAATATGATCAACAGCACAAAATGTTATTATGTGGAAGATATGAGAGTGTGTGCTGATTTTAAAAATAAAAACATTTCCTCCATTCACTCAGATGGACTCAAGGCTTCTAGTCTAGTTGATCACAAAATGGCTGCTCAAATTTAGCCATGAGGGAGGGGCAAGAACACAGAATCACAAAATTATTACTGTGAAAGAAGCCATTTGGCCCATCACATCTGCGCTGGCTCTCCAAATGAGCAATTTACTTCATCATGGCTTTCTCCTACTTTCTCCCCATAAACCTGCACGCTATTTCATTTCTGAACTCTCTTTTGAATACTTCAATTAGATCTGCCTCCAACACACTTTCAGGCAGTTCATTCCACTCTTAAACCACTCACTGCGTGAAAACGTTTTCTCTCACGCTGCTTTCGCTTTTTTTTCCAAAGTTCCGAAAGGAAAGCAACATCTTATAAAGCTATAATTACTGCTCTGAGAAAGAGGAAATCAGCTCCATCACTGAAAAAACTTCAACAAACAAAAAAAAGCAACAGTTCTTACAGCCAGAGATCGTAGGAACTGCAGATGCTGGAGAATCCGAGACAACAAGGTGCAGGGCTCGATGAACACAGCAGGCCAAACAGCATCATAGGAGCAGAGAGGCTGACGTTTCGGGCCTAGACCCTTCATCAGAAAAGCCATGAGTTTCTCTATCAAAGGAGGTGATAGAGGCTGGGACATTTACAACATCTAAAAGGCATCTGGATGGTTAAATGAATAGGAGGGGTTTAGACGGATATGGGCCAAATGCTGGCAAATAGGACTAGGTTAATTTAGGATATGTGGTCAGCATGGACGAGTTTCACAGATGGGTCTGTTTCTGTATGATACAGCTCTATGACTTTTTCTCCAGTTATTTAAATCTTTGTTCACTCGTTTTCCTTGCTTTCCTGAGCGGGAACAGTTTCTCTCCATATATTCTCTGGGACAGTGATGTGAACTAGGAGTTTTCTTTGAGCTGTTGTTTTTCCTCATTCTCTTCAGTCAAGTTTAGTCACACTGTGCATCAATTAAAGCAAGTGGTCCCAGTAACTGTAATTGGTCCCAGAAGGCTTCATAGGTTCATTTGTTAACACTATGGTCTTATAAACTGGTGCAATTTGATCCATTTATTCTGATGCTGCTGGTAAAGCTTCCTTCCTCACTGATGCACAGGGTTTTGAACTGAGTCAAGGGAAAGGAGGGAATGCAGCACCTGAGAAAAGGTGAGAGGGTAGGGTTGATTAACGGAAGAGGTGAGATAGGGAAAAGCTGTGGAAATCGAGATAAGGGAGACAGGGGAAGAGTCGAGGTAAGTGACCTGGGGCTGAGGAGTGGGAGGCTGGAGGACGAGGAGAGCGGGGATTGGAGGAGGTGTGAGTCACGGTAATGGAGATGGGGTGAGGGGGTCAAAGAAAGGCAGGACTGTACATCGAAAGGGGGGGGTGGCAGGAAGGTCGAGTGAAGTGAGGTGGGGAGGAAGAATGATCTTGGGTGCTGACTTTCTTGATGGGTCAATGCAGGAGAGTTCCCGGTTGAAGGGAGTGGAGTGCAAACCAGGTCACTATTTCCGCCCAGTGTTCAGTGAACGGCGGGTGAGAGCGAGAGAGAAGGAAGAGGGTTCTCCCTCTTCTGTGCCGATGGAGGGAGGAGGCACAATGTCTCTGCTCAGTGGTGGAAAGAGACAGAGTGGTCCCCTGCTGTCCAACATTCCCGTTCAAGGCCCAAGAAGTAACTCCAAGCATCTATCTTTAACTGTTTGGGAAGAGAGGATTGTTGTGCTTTATTTTGTTCACCCAGTTGAAGTGATGTGGCTCCCAGTGTAGACGCCCCCACATGGAGTTTGTATGAATTTAACTTCACTCACGTCTACTGCTTCCCAAAGAAAGTGCTTAGCACACTGATGATCAGTGGAAAACTCACTAATCTTTAGAACACCAGAGATAGTAAGAACTGCAGATGTTGGAAAATCTGAGATAACAAGGTGTAGAGCTGGATGAACACAGCAGGCCAAGCAGCATCATAGGAGCAGGAAAGCTGACGTTTCGGGCCTAGACCCT